TCGAACACAGAGCCACTGAGCCTTCAGCACAGAGCATGTTCAGAAGACAAGCTGATAAAATAAACAAAAAGTCTGTATTGTTCGATACATTGTGTGTATTTAATCTAGAGCACTGTTTTGATCAATTCAATACAGATGCATACTGTTGCATCCCTAGTAAATTTACATATGTAATATACTGTATATAAAATTAATAAAAAAACCTTAACAAATAAATAAAAAGAAAATTGCATTCCATAAAGGAAAACCTCTTTGAATGTCATCTTTGACAATAACACAATGTTCAGTCACATCATCACAACATGGATCGTGTGAACTTCTTGTTTAAAACTTTAGGCCACAGATGATATACCATTAAGTTTGAACTTATTGTTTTTCTTCTTTAAATCTCAGGTCTTGTGTGCAACAGGACGTCTGACAGTTACGCCTGCTGGCCTGATGGCCACCCCAACACTACCGTCAGTGTGGCATGCCCGTGGTATTTACCATGGCACCATAAAGGTTAGAGACGTGCGAGTCTGTAGATCGGTGCGAGCCGTGATGTCAGTGATGGCAGCACTGTTCATTCAAAGTGTGTGTTTGTGTAGTCCAACACGGCATGGTGTACAAGGAGTGTGACGCCAACGGCCAGTGGGTGACGGCGGAGAACACCAGCGAGTGTGAGTCTCATGATCCAAAACCGGTAAGAGGAAAACAAACCAAAACACACAAATATTTTGTCAAAAATTAGCATTTTGACATTTTGTTTTAATATCTTTATGTTTGAATTTGTAGTACGACTTTAGATACATTCGGATCATGTACACAGTGGGCTATTCCTTATCCCTGGTGGCTTTGGTATTGGCTCTTGGAATTCTTATATTCTTCAGGTTCTTCACATATTCTTCACATATTCTTCACCCTTATTGAGAATTGGTATTGATGAGGAAATAAATCCAGGATTTACCTTGCATCTTACTTACCAGGAAGCTGCACTGCATGAGGAACAACATCCACATGAATCTGTTTGCCTCCTTTATCCTGCGAGCCCTGTCAATCCTGATCAAAGACGCTTTGCTGGAGGCCAACCGCATATCGCAAGACCTCAGCAGGGACCAGGTTCCAGCCTTCCCCAGCACGTCGTCCCCGATGGAGCTGCAGGACAACAATGTGGTCAGTGTTGGTCTGACAGAGGAGCGCGTTTGATAATGATTCTAAAACCATCCACAATCCTTTTAAATTAATCACTTTGTCCCATTTTGTCTTATGTGCATGGTTCTATACTTCAGAAAAGCTGCTGCTTTGTAACATCTCCCGACTTTTGGCTTAACACGACATATGTAACGTCCGCCTGCTTGATGTGTTTTGTAAACATCACCCCCCCTCGCTTTCTTGTAGACATGGATGGGTTGTCGCATGGCAGTGGTGATGATGCAATACAGCATCATGGCTAACAGCTACTGGCTCCTGGTGGAAGGCATCTACCTCCACAACCTCCTGGTCATCACCGTCTTCACTGAGAGGAACTACTTCAAAATCTACCTGTGCATTGGCTGGGGTGAGAGTTTGGGTCAGGGGATCTGTAGAAACTGGTTAAGTTATTGTTTTCATGCTTGATGAATGCAAAACAGCTGTGCCAAAAATCATTTGTACTTTTGTTTTCAGGTACACCGTTAATTTTCCTCATGCCGTGGGTCCTTGTTAAACACATTGCTGAAGATCAAGAGTAAGTGTTGCTTTTTTTTACACTTTTCTTAGATTCTTGAGGATGATTGAACCCAAAAATAATGATCGTGCAAGCGACTAGCTAAAAGAAAATAAGATTTAATAAGCAAAAGAAACAACAAAGGCTAAACAGAGATGCAGGGGTGTCCAGTCCTGGTCTTCGAGGACCACTATRCTGCATGTTTTTGAGGTTTCTTTGCTCCAACACTCCTGATTTTAATAAATGGGTGATTAACAGGTTTCTACAGAACATGAAAAGATGATCCAGTTATTGAATCAGGTGTGGTAGAACAGGGAAACAAGGAAAACATGCAGGATAGTGACCCTCCAGGACCAGGATCGGACACCCCTGGACAAGCTGGACCGAGGCTGAGGAAGAAAATGGAGACAGGTGACATTAATGGTTACAGGAAACAGGTGCAGATGAAGGGCAGAGCTGACAGAGCAGATGTAAGGAAAGTGGTTGGAACAGGGCAATCCTACACAAGAGAGCTTAACAACAACAACAACAACAAACTAAAAATAAAGTAGACAACATGAAAAACAATGTATCTTTATTGTAAAACCATTTCTAACTAAGCGATATTCAGTTCTTCAGCAGCCAGTGGAGTTTTTTTTTAGAAATCAGGAAGAGGGGTCATAATTGAAACTGTTTAACAATCATACAGATCACAATGAACAAAATTCCTATGAAAGTAAAAAGTTGGAATAACATCAGGCTCAGGATAAATCACTTAAAACACAAACTTTGATTAAAAAAAGAAAAAAATACTAATTTTGTCTTTTTACCTGCAATCTTTAAACAACTTTTCAGGCCACTTGTGATGATGTCATCAAAGCAATGATTTAAGTTAAGCCCTACAGACTAATTTACTTCTAATTCTTCTGATCACTTCCAATTAAAAAATAATATCAAAGCTTATCTTATTATTAAAAGCATCTTTTTGGAAGCTTTTCTTTTGGCTTATATTCTGCTTATGCAAATTATTAAAAAAGAACAAGTAAAATTGGATAATAAACTTCTTGTCATACCATAGAATGAAACATTAAGTTAATATTCGCAAAAATGTATTTTCCCCAGGTTTTGGTTATAATATTTGGCTGTTTGTTGCTACATTGCAATTTTATTACTATTTTATCCAGGTTGCCAAAAAAACAGTTCTAAATGTTTTATCTTAACTCTCTGCTACAGCTAACGTACTCCTCAGTTTATAAGTATTTAAAGCCGTGCTGTTAAAATGTTGAAACACAGATGTTTTTTTTAGCTGCGGCAGAYTCAAATTAATCCAAGAGGAAAGACTTCTGTTGTAAACGAAGCACCAAACTATTGTTTAAAAGCATGTAACGTGCAGGAAATTTCACTGACCGATGTATTCCTTTTTTCTTTTCAGGTGTTGGGAGCGAAACATCAACATGAATTACTGGTGGATTATCCGAGCACCCATCTTTTTTGCTGTTGTGGTAATTCTGGCATTCATTGTCACTCTATTATTGAATCTACTGCTATTTTTTTTTTGTTTCATTCACGCTTTAGTAGCCAAAAAATGTATTCCCCTGAAATATCCACATGTGCAAGTATACTTTCCATGTGATTGCAGCTTGTTTTCACCACATCATACTCTATGCAGTTTTAAACACACCTCATTTATTCATAAAGTGCAAAAGGTGGGCTGCAGTTGGGATTGAGCATCTTGGAAGTGCGTTGGGGGGTTTCAGTACATACAGTATGTGCCCTGCTGGGATCAGTTCATAGCGTTTGTTCAGCTCCGACGTGTCGCCGCCCCTACGTGAAGCCAGACATCCTGGCAGTTTCTATCCATTAATCGTTCCTCTAAGTGGCCGGTATCCCGCAGGAATTCCTGTGTTTGATTTGTTCTGGGGGAACAGGAGGGCCGGTCCTCAGCGTGTTCCTCTTGTTGTTCTCGTCCCACCATTTTCAAAGTTCACATCTGAGCAGAAACAAGTCGAAAACATGAGTAATTATTTTTGTTGAAACAAAGGTAACTCTCTGATGTAGTTTTGTCCGTGTGTTTTCAAAAACGACTAAATGAGGGGGACGCAGTTTTTCTCCATACTTTTTAGCACTGAGCAGTGTGTAAACGTTCAAATTAGGTCTGGCACATTTTCTTTCATTTAAGCCCTGACAAATTAACAGCATAAAGGTTACATCATGAAGAATTTTCATCAGAAGAACGCCTGCTGTTTCTGGAAATGTCAGCCAGCTGGTGTGAAAAGGCTTTTCTACGATTCCTGCATTTAGTGGCTGCAYATTCAAATAGAAAAGGGGTGGGGCTATTTTGACAAGGAGATGACCTTTGATTTATTACAGTGATCAACCAAAACATGAGTTGTCGTTTTATATTAAAGATAGATACAAGCGGAAGACACTCAGCATTAATTTTAGGATTGTTTGGAGGAAAATTTTTAGTATTTAAACTTGTTTGAATGTGAACATCTTATTTCAGAACCAYAAACCTAATGTATATAATAAATACTTTAAAATCATTTAATAACTGCCAGAAGTCAAAAATCCATATTATGTAGTTTCTGTTTTTGTTSTTCTTCTTTGTGTATCTTCAGCCTTTAGGTTTGCAACTCAATCAGATTTGGACTCATTTTTTGTTGTTTTTCTGAACCACTGTAGAGTTTTCCACTCTTTTGTCRAGAGAAACTCTCAGGGCTGCACTTTCAAGTCATTGTCTGTGGATCAGTTCTGCTGCCTGCGACTGAATGTGAGCGGACAGTTTATTACTGAACACTGCAGACTTKAAGCAGCTGCTCCTGCCTTCTGTCACAGCGTCAACAAACACGAGAGTCCCGGTGCGCCTGGAAGCCACGCGTGTTCATGCTCTTGCTCTGCCTCTGTCAGTTTAAAGAATCACACCGTGAACCTTTTCAAGCTTTATTTACGTTCTTGAAAGTAGTTTAATCTTCTGAAACTGAAGGTGAAATCCAGTTTGAGCCTTTAATTCGTAATGCTTTTGTTCATGCTGCACCTTAAAGTGAATATTTTATATTTACCGGTGATTATTCAAAACCACGATCCTCCACGAGGTCATTTCATGTCGATTTTTTAAAAATGAGCATTGCCTAATAGTAGATTGCACAACCCGATTACAAATGTGGCGCAGAGTCACACAGACAGACAAAAACAGACAGACAAAAACATTTCATCAAAACTAAATTCTTTTATCAGATGACAGGGAGTTGGAAGGTGAAAAGGGGATATTAAGTAACTTTGTGGCTTCTGGAAAAGTCCAGTTCCTCTGCTGAGGATGGCAGCACTCCAGCAGAATTTCTATAAAACCCTTCTGAGGTCTGTTGAGTTCAAATCACCTCGAAAAAAAAATTACAAGAAATTATTATGGTATGTGGCTGCTAATGACCTCGTGTATTTGTCTTGTGCATATTTTTTTTTTGATTTGCATCAGGCATAAAGTAAACAGCAGCTATACTGTAAATAAGCTGTAAAATAAATATATGTGCATTTGACTTTCAGCCTTTTGTTGGTTTTTCTACCTATTTTACATGTCACCATCAGACGGGGTTTTGAGTGAGCAAAAAATGCACCATCTTGTAAAAAAAACACGGGAATACGCTTTTAGAATCAAGCATTTYTCTCGTGAGCCACTGAAAGAAGAAGTAATATTTAGTTTTTAAAAAATTTTTTTTGCAAAACTTTAACATCCTTTCTGTTTTTTTTACAGATCAACTTCCTCATCTTTATCCATATCATTAAAATTCTTGTTTCGAAACTTCGAGCGCATCAAATGAGATACACAGATTATAAGTTCAGGTGAGTTTTTCATTTTTGATGTAGATTGCAAATGGTTATAGGTATGGTTTGTATGATTTATTATGGGGTTTGGGGGGTTTCTGTGTGTTTTATTATGTGTGTTAATGTGGCTGAATTTTCATAAATCAAATTAATGTGGCTGAACTCTCATAAATCAAAAACGATTTTCTGTCAGACAAAAAAGATTTSTAAATATCTTGAATTTCAGATGACATTTTTTGCCAACATTTGTTTTTGTTTCCTTRCTCTCAACTCAGTTTGCGTTTCCTCTTTGTTTTTACGTGTTTTCAGGTTGGCAAAATCGACTTTAACCCTAATCCCTCTTCTGGGCATCCATTATGTGGTCTTTATCTTCTTGACAGACGAGTACACTGAGGCAAACACYAGTTTACGTGTCACAAAGGTCTTCACTGACCTTTTCTTCTCCTCCTTCCAGGTTGGATCATGAAATCAATTATTCCATTACGCCAATACGTACAAACCTCCAAACAGTTCTACACTCAGCGATCGTTATTAGGGATCTGAACGTGTTTTATTTAGTTTGTGTCCGAAGTGATTAAATCAAAGTGCTGTAATTATTCAAGCAGACCCTTAACAACTGTGTCARACTGTGACACAACGACAGGGACCTTTAAGCTTTAAGAGGCCGAGATGACAGATGAGTCACACAAACAGAGCGAGAGAGAAGATGATGCAAAAAGGATCCCTAAAGCAAAAAAAGTGCAACTTTTATTAAAACACGTTACTCTGATGCACATTTTTATCGCCTTCCAAGAAAGTCAGGTTTTAATTGGTTTGATCATGTAGGACATTTTTAGRATTTATCAATATTTGATTACCTCTGCAGTCATGTGGTGAAGTGGGAAACTTAAATTAGCTGGGTGTGCTGATTTTACTCCATCTCAGTCTGAAGCTTTCTGCAGTTCTCTTGTTTCTCTTGTTTATTTCTCTCTGAATTTGGAAATTTAGAGCTCTGTTCACATCCCGTCTCCTTTGATCAGCCCTACCTCGGTGTTGTCGCCTTCTCTGTGACACACAGAGAGCTTTTGTTTTGGGGTTTTATTTCTTTTTTATTTTGTGACACATAGAGTTGTCACAGATATTCCGGAGCAGAGCAGGCGCCCAGCTGTTCTTGGGGAAAATGAATAGAGAAGTGCAGCTGGCAGGAGAGGCCGTTGTTCCTGCGTGCATYAGTGCGAAGGAAAAGTTTACAGAAAGCAATTTCCTTGGTCTAAAAATAGGTTTAAACACCAAAGCAAATCCCTTCTTTTCGAGTGTGAACGTCATGATTTAGAGAACAGAATAAATATTGCACTGAGATGAAGCGRTGTTGAGATATTCGCAGGAAGTGATGACAAAGGGGAATGTCTGCATGTGAACAGTGCACTGCTACAACACGTAACACAGACTGTAGAGACGAATCTGATGGTTCTTTAGATTATTTGAAGTCACCAGACAGAGATGAAAAAGAGTCAGAGTTCAAATAATGTTTCAACAAAGACCAGGGAGTTCCCTTTCTTAAACAGTTCCCCTTTGATGTCACTTCCTGTTTTTCTTTATGTGAGCCAAGATTAAAATAAATGCTCGTTATGTAATAAAATGGTTAAAAACATGTTCATTGTGCCAAGTTTTTTTTTATATATAAAGATGTTTTCTTCAACTTTTTGTATTTTAATGATGTGCATGTCACAGGCACTTTGAGATAATGATAAAGACAGATGGATGTTTGTTGTCTTCTCAGGGTCTCCTGGTTGCTATCTTGTACTGCTTTGTCAACAAAGAAGTGAGTGTCCTCAGCCACACAAAAATGATGTCATCCACAAATTCCTCCATCATTGCCTATCTCATCCCTCCTTTGGTTTTGCCCTCTCCCAAGGTTCAATCTGAGGTCCTGAAGAAGTGGAAGCGCTGGAAACTCGGGAGGAACATCGAGGAGGAATACCGCCACACCTACAGCAATACTCCCAACACCAAGACGGGCAGCCTGCTGAACCACATCTCTCGGGTCTCTCAACTTCCGGACATCACCAAATCCTCCGACCCCGTCTGCAGCCCCGAGGAGACGCACATGCTTGTGGCCGGCTGCCACAACGGTTTGGTCCGCAGCGAGGCGGGAGGCAACTGTGCCCCGCAGCAGAACGAGGAAACCAGCAACTGCACCCTGATGGAGGACGTCAGCCTCGCGGAGAAGATGCAGTGTTACGAGGCACGTAGGGGTAACGTGGAGAGCCACCTTTGAACTTGGAGAAAGGTTCGGGGCTCTGCTGTGGCTCAGACTGACAGCTCAGCTTGGATGTAAAGAGGTGGGCTGGGGGGAGCAGATAGCAGTCGATGCAGCGCTCAGCTCTGGAACAGCACTGTAGGATCGACCGCATCGACCCCGTGCCGCGAGTCTTGTGAGTGGATTCCTCTCTACATGTTTGACATTATAAAACTGCTGCCTATTGAACAACTCATCCTGATGCAGATAAGCCATTAAAAGCAGCAGCAAAACACAGAAAGCAACAACAACAACAACAAAAAGACTCAAGGTTCTGGCTCAAAGTCTCTGCTTTAACGTTTGCTGTCTAAATGTGGGTTTCGTGGTACTGAGAGTTAACTGGACATTGGACTGTGCACACAAATGAAGACCAAACAAACAGTGTAAAACACACAAAAAAGAAGAAGCCAGAGACAGTAAAAATAACTTTTTATACAGTGTATACTTTCTGGTATGTTCAAACTGTTTTTGTCTTCACTGATATTAAAGAAAACAGTAAAAAAAAGAAGAAAAAATAGTATAAAAACATTCTGTTATCTATACCTCATATACAATAAAGTGACCACAGTGGTGTTGTTCATGGGAAAAAGGCAGCTGGCTTACATATAGAGTTTAAAATTAGGTCAAAGTATGATTCTGAATGGAAACAAGCTGCAAGGCAAATGTATGAGTTTATAAAAGCATTATTTATTTAGGTGTGATGAGTGTTGCTGAGTGCTACAGGTCTGATTGTTAAATGTGGTCAAAGATAAACATAAAACAGACYTTCTGAACCTCTTAGTAAAATTAGAACACAGTGCTTCTGAAACAAACAGTTTTTTTATGATGCTCCAGCTTGGATGTGACGATTTACTGGGCTGCAGTGAATTAGCTGCTCACGCTTCAAATCAGCGTCAACATTTTGCTAATGCTGTCAGAAGTGCCAGAAAGGTTCTGCTAATGACCGCACACACCAAGTCTCCCTGTGGACGATGTTTCAAGCTGTMGGCAAATTCATGGGTTGCATCCTTCAAAGGGCAAATTTGAAGGCTGATAGAGACAAACGCATCCTCCTCAGCCCTGATTTGAGGGCTGGGTCCGGTGGATACTTCTCYGCCCACCCTATCCCAAGATGCATTGTGGGATGCTTGTAATGGTGGACGAAGTTAGAGAAAGGAGGGCCATTTTAAATAAAAATCTGGCGGTAGAAATATTGAAAGTTTAAAGTGGTTGTGTTGTTAAGGCTCCCACAGACCCATTCTCACTCCCTGGTCGTCACATATTGGCACTTTTCCAAGGTTCCCTCTGCATCCGATTTTGACACGTCGGGTACCCCCCCTCGCATCAGTTATTGACGAGATGGGGCGGAATCCATAATTTCAGAAAGTGTATAAAATGCACAAAAACTAACCGTCCCAAAGCCTAAAATTACCTTTATTCACTCTAGACATGCTGTCCCTGACCCTAACCCTAACTCTACCTAAAATTAACCATTAACCCTGATCCCTAAAATTAACCATTTTTTGAAAGTGTAGGAAATTCACGTSAACTACATGTTCCAAAGCCTAAAATTACTTAATATTCACCCTAGACATCCTATCCCTGACCCCACTACCTAAAATTAACCATGAACTCTGATCCCTAATATTAACCATGGACCCCAACTAACTCAAAGACCTCTATATTTTGCGTCCCAACGCGTCAAACCCGGACGCCGAGGGAACACGGAAATGCCTGGTGCGTCAAAAACTGACGCAACGGGTGTACCCGACGCGTTAAAAAAAGACGCAGAGGGAACCTTGGAAAAGCACCAATATATGACGAGTCAGGAATGAGAATGTGTTACACATACTCGGGCAAACTGTGTGCGGTCCGTGAGCCGCGCGGACTCGGCGCGTATTGTCCGCGGACGTTAGAGAGTTCATGCTCGAGCGTACTGACCGCCTGACAAATTATTTAATTTCTCACAATTTCAAGTCATGGCATCAAGGACGAGGAGGAAGAGATATTTTGCAGTTTCGCTTTAAAACAACAAAAGAAAAAAACGACTTACCCAGAAGCTGAGCTATTTCCTCCCACGAATTAGTTGCTCGCTGAAAGTCTAAAGTTTTCTAATCTCCTCCGTGAGACAATCTTCAGATTTTGACTCCATTTTGTCCACAAYTGACACAGATTCTCAACTTTATCAGCTTGGTGGCACATCCAGAACAGWTCGACGTGAACTCYCTGGGCAGTTTTATTGTGCGACACCGCGGATGTAAAAAATTGATCTATGCGRGGACCAGTCRGGCGGAKGGCCYCTTCAAGTCCYCYTTGAGTCTCTGCAGAGCGAAGTATGCCGAGTGTGTGGGGGTCTTTAGACTTTTGTCAGAAATCAAATTAGGTTGTGTAGAGAAATAAACAAACTTCTAGTATTMCCTTTAAGCTAATCTTGTAAATTTAAAATATTGATAATAGTAACATACTTTGCTAATTTTGATCTATATTTTTGCTTCTGTTTAGCGTTTTCACGGTCRCCGAGGCCACTTTCTTCCGGTCTCCGAGGTCGACAAAGCACCTGGCCCACCTAGGCCAGGTKGGTCCTTTGAAGGACCCAGCCCCTGAATTTGGARGCAGCCTTAATGTGCAGCTGAGTCCACAATAAACACTGAACAAAACTCAACAGCAGCCTGAAAGTAGAACAAAACTTTTCTGTTGTGCTGACAAAGTTAGAGGTACATTAAGTTGTGAATAAAGAAGGGTTAGCCACCTGCATTAACCGTTTTTGGAGCTAAAAGGTTTTACCAGAACTAACTGAACTTGTATGTTTGACTATTTGCACAATGTTAATTTATAACTGGTAAATGTTCTGTAGAAATGTGAGCGTGCGTGAGGATTTTATCGGACTGCGGTCAAGAAATTCCTTTATGCCTTTATAGTGAATGTGTGCGCACAAGTATATTTTTGAGGTATGAATGCATGCAGTTTTAGTATTTGTAGATGTTTTACAGTATCGCTATCAAAAGCCAAAAAAACTAAGAGGGTGAGAAAAAAAACACAGTTCGATTGAAGTCAAAAGCCATGACGAATCATTCTCACTTCAGCCTAAATGTTTTAGCACTTCAGGATGTTTCCATACGTCCTGCCTCTGTAGAGCATGCAGAAGAAACAGCTCTGCTATTCATTATAAAGACCTGATGTTCATCTGAGCAAATTAGAGCAACAGCAACATTTGATTTTTGTCATGTCAGATAATTGATGTGCTTCATCCAGTCGCTGCTGATGAGTGGATAGGGGGAAAAAATGCAGYTGAAAGCTATTTTCCATCGACATCTGCTGAGGGTTGGAATAGTACAAGTATTTCCATTCAATAATTGTGCTGGGAGCATGAAGCACACCCGGGTGCTGCAGAGGAGGAAGGGGGAAAGCTTACCGACTCACATACAGAAATGTGACGCATTGAGTCGTAAAGGAAAAAAACAAATATATTGCTACTTTTAAAGCCAAACCTGTATTTTTAATGATTCGTGGCCATATACAATTTTGAACTTTGGGTCACTCCTCTTTACTGGACCAAAGCGGTTCCGGATGAATGTATTTCAAATTCTTATGTTCCTTTTTACTTTTCTCCAAATGGTGGTTATGTACAGTACTTTAAATGTGAAGGACAGATGAAAGCAGTGACTGAATTTAGGTGTAAACAGTTCATCATACATTGTATCTTCTTTGTGCAAGTGGTGAAAGAATAAATTTCAGTATATGTTGAAGATGAGTGGTTCTCGTGGTTGCTTATGTGGTGAATTAGGAGGGATTTAACTTTGCAAAAATGATTGACTTTGAAGTAACAAAAGAGTCTTTTTACACTGCCTCTGTGTGTGACTGTTAACACTTAAAAACTCTCATTAATTGGGACAGTAAGTTGTGAAAACAAGTACCCTGTGGTCAATGCTTACTATAGAAAACCTAAAGTTTACAGAAAATGTTCCTTTTTTAAGGGGTGGGGACAAAAAGTAAAAAAAATTTGCTGTTTCAGCTGTTTGATGTTAGCTGCCGGGAAAACAAAGCCTGTAATACGAACACAACCCACTGAGTGAATGACAGCTAATTAAGTGATAAGAAACCAGAGGAAAAGATTGATAAGTTTGAAACATAAATTTCACTCATCTCTGGCAGTGATTAAATACTTAACATAGTGAGACGTTCTCCTTCCAGCCCACGCTTTCCGCAGAGGCAGCTTCTTCAGCAGTTTGTATTGAAGGGAAAAAAAAGGCAAAAGTAAGAATTTGTGGTTTGACAATTTGTTTGCATAACTAAGTGTTCTAAGTTGCCATGTTTCTGGTAAAAAAAAACTTATTTACCCCAAAATTTCTGCTTTTTTTCCCCCTTTGTTTTCCACAACATAATATTTAATGGAGTTGTTTTAAAGCAAGAACTATCATTAAAGCAAATAACAGGGTATAAAAAAATGTAAGTAAATGCATCGGGGGAAAGGTCGCCGCTTCCTCCCCGAGGCCTGGGAACAACTGAGCCGGTGTCCTGATGCCAACAACCTGATTATGTGTGAATGGGCCATAAAGCCGGTGAGTTATTTTCTACTTTCAGCTTTCTGACAGGCGTTTGAGGTCCCYGAGCTCTCATCGCCTCCCTGGATCTTCTGTGTGGCACAGCTGGAGAYGAGAATGAATATTTAATGTTCAAATAGACACACAGACACAGTTTGTGTGTGTGGAGGTGTGCACTTTGAAGCAGAAGACATTTTTAGATCARATAACAGAGCTGGGATCTTATTGTGCTCTTTTTGATCCAAAAAGAGGGATAACTTTTGAAGTGCCAAGTGTGAAATAAAATGTTTAAAAATGTCACTGACACWTTATTTAGCTCACTTTGTGTGTTAAAATATTTCACTAACACTTTATTGTTATTTAGCTCACACTCTACTTGTATCCGTTCACTTCGGTCACTGCCCAAATTTCCTGGCTAAAGCAGAAACTGACTGGTAAACAGAGCTTTGCCMTACAGCTCAGCTCCCTCTTCACKACAACAGACCGGTACAGAGTCCACAAAACTGCAGAAGCTGCACCGATCCGTCTATCAATCTCATGCTCCTCCATTTGAYGCAGAACTTCACCCTCAGTCCAGAGAGAGCAATCCACCCTTTTCCAACTGAGGACCATGGACTCAGATTTGGAGGTGCTGATCCATTTAGCTCACACTGTCAAACAATGTATGTAAATATTATCCTAAATCTAAATGTAACAGATAAATCTTGACTTGGCCAAAAATGTGAATAAATGTTGAAGTTTACARTTAGGTATTTGGGATTAAATGCAGCCGTTGGTGCACAGCTCTTGTTGTGATGTCATCATCCTGAGACAAAAGAAACCGCTAATGCTGCTAACACTGCTAATGCTGCTAACGTCTCCCTACAAGACATRGAACTTGCAGKTGCGGCCTGTYTCCAAGCTGCACTTCAAACTGCCGGACCACAGCCACCATCCATGTTGTTTTCGATGAACACCTCTTGAATTAAAATTTTAAGTGCTATCTTCAGTAGCGTTAGCTGTGTTAGCAGCGTTAGTGTTGGCTTTTGTCTCAGGATGATGATGTCATAACAAGAGCCGCACACCGACATCAATGTGCTCCAATTCTAAATATTTAAATATAAATTTCAGCATTTAATGCTTACATAAAACATTTAGTAAAGGTTAGCAAAAATGTTAAAACAGTGACCTAAATAACAATAAAATGTTACCGGAAAAAATTAGGATTTTACACACAAAAAGTGGGTTAAATAATAAAAAAAATATGTTAGTGACATTTTGAACATTTTTTTTTACACTTGGCACCCCATAATAACTGTATATTTCATTTCATCTGTTGAGAACGTTACATTTTGTCTTAATCAGCTTAGTGAGTAAAATAAGCTAAATAACTTGACATTTTTCTAAACTCCTAATTCAGCTTAGCTATTGATTATTCACAAATGCAATGATGCCTGTTGCTGCCACATAAATCCTCTTTTCCCAGACAGCCCCTATCTATCACAGCACCCACCCTGCAGTGCTGGAGTTTTATAACTGATGGTTACACAACAGCTCTTTACAAACCAAAATATGGAAAAGTTTTTGCTTGGACCAAATCATCAGCTCTAAGGTTACGAGGACAAGCAGGCAAACAAAACCATTCACTGTTAGGTCTCAAAACAGCTGCAATAAAGTGTAAGATTCCTAACTTGATGAGTGTCTGTTTCAGTTTATATAATGCTTTGTTTTGCATGAGTAGTGAGTGAGAACAAAGAGTTTCCCTTTAACAAGAATGACTTCTGGATCCAGACTCA